GTTTTTCACTATAGGAAACGGAATACGAGGGCCCAGAAAGTATCCATACAACACCGAATTATATGCTTTAGCAGCTTCCTTAGCCATTTCAATAGGAATTTTCACACTTACATCCTTTTTATCAGCCAACGGATAAAAATTGAGATTCGTGGCAATCGAACTTCCCACCGCTTTCACAAAGTTTAACTTTTCTTTACCACTTGAGGCAATTCCGAGAGATGAAAGTCTCTCAAAAACTGAAATTCTACTAGGATAAGTAGGAATAGGAGCCGATTCATCCCCCATTTCCATCGCACACACTAAAAAGTCGTGGTGCTAAAACTAACGTTTACCGCCCTTAATAGGATAGACGAAGACCACGGAAACCGAGGTGCTGAATATCTATCAAGGGAATTCAACGAAAGAGACGAAGACCCCGGAAACACTTAGGATGTACGAAGAAACAGGAAATAAAACCACCAACAAAAACAACCGGCGAAAAAAGCCTCTAGACACCTCTTAAACAGATGCAAACCCAAACAACAATGAGTAAACTCCAAATAAACACTCAGAATGCAGAAAAACTAACTGAACTTGTTGTTAAAATACTAAACTCGAGGCTCAAAACAGCAGTAAAAAAGATTCTGGCAGCATGAAGGAAACCGCAGCAAAGAAACAGCAACCAAAACACGATATAGGCACACACAATCACAAACAATAGCCTATCTGGATCTGCAAATAGGCAAAACAACCAGCCCAACCAATCTAATCCTTACCCAACAGCACTTTAAAAATTCTAGCAGCAAAAAGGAAATACCACAACAAATACAGCAACCAAACCACCAAAAAGTCCTCGCAATCACAAACAGAAGACTACCAGGAGCTGCAATAGTCTAACAACCAGCCTATCCAAACTAAACCCTTGCAAAGAAGCCGAGGGGATGAGCCAACTAGCAGAGCAGACGGACAAAACCCAAAACAGCGAGAAGCAACAGCAAAGAACCAGGTCAGGCTGAACCAGCAGCAGCAAACAAATTAACCACATAATTTCAAACTCCGGTCAGAACCAAATCAGCAAGAAAACATGCAAGAAGTCGCATAAAATCAAACGAGAAAGGTGCGTCAATTCTGGTTAGGCCAAACAAAACAATAGAACAAAATCACACGCACCTAGATCATCTTCAACCAAGGATAAACCAACGAAAACAGCCTTAAACAAAACAGCACATAAAATCATAGAATGAACAGCACCTCCAAACCCTAGCACACCCACAAGACTAGCACCCAACTGAAACTAGGTCGAAGCAGACAGATCACCAGGTTGAATACCGAATCGAAACATAATGAATCAAACAGTAAAAACCCAGGCAAAACCTGATCTAAACAAAACGTAACTTACACAGCACGGCAGAAACCCTAGCCGCACCCAACAAGAAAAACGCAAAAACCAGCCGCAGATCAGGAACAAAACTAAGGAAAGATCTTACCAAATGAAGAACAAGAATGATTGCAGAAACTCGAAATGGAAGCAGCCGTGAGGATAGAATCCCACCCTTACCTTCATGAACGAGTAGCCAAAACCGAAAGCAAAACACCTCAACAAACAAGAAGTCGTCAAGAATGATGCAACCATGCACATCCATAAACCAGATCGGAAGCCTCGACGATCAAAACAATCAAACCTCCATCACCATGAACGCACTCCTTGAGAGAAAAAGTCAAACATGGTCAAACCTGGGTTTTTTTTATTAGTGGGTCCATTTGGTGTTAGTGGATATAATAGGCCTATTTCTTCTTAAGAAGTTCAATTGGGTCAAAATGACACTAAATGGATCGTATTTAGTCTAGCTTGACGTTAATGTGACTAACTAAGGTAGAATGGGTCCATTTGGTGTTAGTGGGTTTATAACGGGACAATCAATTTTGATCGAGTCATTTGGATCAAAATGACAATACGTGGATCATAATTAATCTCGTTAGACCTTTCATAGGCATATTTCTCCAGAAGGAGTCAAAATGAGACTAGATGACTCATATTTAGTTTGATCAGACATTAAAGGGTATAATCGGCTTGTTTCCCCATTTTGAGTCTAATTAAGTTATAATGGTGCTAAATGGGTCATAATTAGTCTAATCAGAAGTTAATGAGAGCAATTGAGGTAGAATGTGTCTTAAGGGTCCTTATTGGGTCCATTTCGTGTTAGTGGGTATAATGGGCTATTTCTTCTTAAGGAGTCCAATTGGGTCATAATGACACAAACTAGGTCCTAATTAGTCTCATTAGAACCTAATGGGTGTTAAGCGCTGCATCTCTCATTGAGGAGTCTAATTGGGTAAAAATGATACTAAATGAGTCATTAGTATACAACTAGACGTTAATGTGACTAATTAAGGTATAATGGTTCTTAAGGGTCCTTATTGGGTCCAATTGGTCATAGTAGGAAGAATGTGCCTACTTTTAATCGAGTCATTCGTGTCAAAATGACACTAAATGGATCGTAATTAATCAAATTGGACCCAAATTGGTTTAATAGGCCCRTTTCTTTACAAGGAGTCTAATTGGGTCAAAATTACACTAATTGAGTCTGTTTAGTTTGATCAGACCTTTTTTTTAACGGAAACCAGACAAATTTATACAACCATAAAAAGAAATACAACGATTAAACGTTCAACCACAACCAACAAACTAGGAAAACAAAAGACTTGGACATCACCCCATACCAAGCCACAACAAGCCAAAAGGTACAAAGCCCAACAGACTCAACCAAGCAACAAAAATTAAAGAAAAGGAGCTTAAAACTCAAAAAAGCTCCCCAAACCCATACATGATCCTCCATGACAAACAACATTTCACACTGCCCTTCTCTCCATCCAAGCCGCACGAATGGAAATAGTATTTTGAATAACTTTGATAAGTTGCAGAGTAGTGCGGCGATCCTCAGTAAAAAGTCTTCTATTTCGTTCCTGCCAAATATAATAAACAAAAGCTGCCACCGCAAGTTTCTGCTTTAAACGTTTCGGTTGTCGACTAGAATCCAAAATAGCTTCCAAAATTTGATCCCATGAAGAAGGCATATTCATCAAGTCCACAATATGCAAGATGCTATCCCAAACCTCTCAAGCAAAAATACACTTAAAGAATAAATGGGAATGGCTATCCATACAATGCCCACAAAGCGAGCATTCCAGGTCCGAAGGCTCATCCTTCCAAAGCATACGGTCTTGTGTAGGAAGACGTCTCTGACAAGCAAGCCATAAACAGAAAGCAGATGTTGTAATACCATTCTATATGATTTTGAGAAAACGATAATTTTTTTATTTTTGAATAAAATATAAATTTGAAAATATTATAAAAATTTGAAAAAAGATATGTCAACATTAGTATCAAATTATCTTTTTAAAAGTTCTTTTTTCGTGTGATTTATTTAATTCAACTTTTTTATTGTAATTTAATTTAAGTTTATTAACGAAGTAATTTATTTTTGTTTAATAATATAATTTTTTATAAAGATCAATAATTAAGTATTATGTTAGAACTTAATAATTATCCTAATTTTATTTTTAGATTTTTTATTTTTAAAATAAGATGTTTGTTTTGTATTTGATTGTATTTATCTGCAATTACTTACACGAATTCAAACATGAAGCTTTAATAAGTTGTCTTTAAGCACAATCTATTTAAAATTTTGAATTTAAGTAATTTGTATCAATAAACGATACTTTATATATAAAAAATGATTTTTAAGAGTTTTAAAATTCGTTACAATATATTATATCTATACTATATCATAAAACATTTGACAAAAACTCTTAAAAATCATCTTTTATGCATGAAGTACTGTTTATTGATGCATATTATTTCAAATTCAATATTACAAGTACATTGTACATAAGTACAACTTATTAAAGCTCTATTGTTGAATTTTTGTAACTAACTACAGATGAACATAATCAAATACATGATACATATCTTATTTTAAATATAAAAAATTAAAATATAATTAAGATAATCATTGAGTTCTAAAATAATACTTAGTTATCATTCTTATAATATTATATTATTAAAAAAAATTACTTTATTATTAAATCTAAATTAAGTTGAATTAAAAAATTACACATAAAACAAGAACTTTTGAATAGTTAATTTAATATTAATATCGACATATTCTTTTTTAAATTTATATTTCATTCAAAAATAAAAATATTATCATTTTCTAAAAATCACATAAAACTATTATATTGATAGAAAAAATAAATAAAATAAAACATTAAAATCAAGATATATCTCACTGCATTACGCTAGATTCCTTTTAATATAAGATAGTATAACCCACTTACAATTATATTGATACCGGTTTGTATTGTTTGTGTTAGAGCAACTCCAATCGAACGACAAAACCCTAGTTTTGCCGTTCTTTTGGATCCAACCACACGCCAAAAACACTATCCCTTTATCGGAGGCAGTTTGTGACCGTCATATTTGCCGTGGGAGAGTTTCACACCAAAAGGGTGGTCCCCATCACCATTTCTTAAATAAATAAAATTTTTAAATAAATTATAAACAAATAATTATAAATATTATTTTTAGGTTTTTATATTTATTATATAAATTTATATATATATATATATAATAGATTATTATTAACACAAATATTTTAACATTTTTTCGTTAAGTAAATTAATTATTAATTATTTATTATTATAATATTTATTATAAATATTATTATTAAAAATAATAAATAAAATATATTATTTTAATATAAAGTTCATAAAAATGATGTTTTTTTTGAAGTGTGAGTAGAGTTGTAGTGCTTATGGGCCATCATATTTGGTATTTTTAATGTTTTTTTGTGTTGAGATTGGAGTGGCTATTAATAAATTAATTTAATTTTTTTGGGTAAAAAAATGATACCAATGGCAATAATTCACATCATCAAAGTTCAGATATATGCCGCCGTCATCCCTTCTTCAGGAAACTTGTCTCGGTTCTTGTTTGTTAGAGACAGACAGATTTTGTCAGAGTTCCGAAGTGAATAACATAGAAAGTTACTGTAAATTATAGGATGAGAGCTTCTTCTTCTTCATCATCATTTTTCTCTCACTTTTGTTCCGCCGCTCTCAGAGCTAAACCACTAGGAAAGTCATCTGATGTTGTCCGTACAAACTCCGGCGAAGGTCTCGTCCGCCGTCTTGGACCTTTTGACTTGATTCTTCTGGGAATTGGCGCTTCAATTGGTGCCGGTATCTTCGTCGTCACGGGCACCGTCGCTCGTGATGCTGGTCCTGGTAAGTTTTATTGGGAAAACGAAACCGTTGTATTTATGAATTTCTTCATTAGTTTTCTAATTGTCGTCCATCAAAAACCGAACAAAACATGATAAGTTGTATATGCGTTTTGCCAATCTATTAACTAGTTGGAATAAGAGTTCATTTAAATTCGAGTAGTACTCGTGATACAGATTAACCCTATCGGTCTTGTTTCAAGCTTTGGAACTACTTTCTGGTTTTATATGAGCAATGTAGATAAATTTAGTCCCTAGCTCAAGCTAAATCCTGGATACAGATTCATTTAGTCGATTAAGCTTCAAATGCCTCACTTTTTTTCATCACTTTGCCTCATTTACACCCCTATGGTATTAAAGATGTTACATGCTATCTTTAATTATGCTGTATATTTATTTTGGTAATGGAATATCTATGCAATGTTCTGAAAAGATATGCATCGGATATTGCAAGCCATATACACCGGATGGTATGGACTATTGGCATTTATATGTCGTTACTAGGAATTGTATGACTGTAGTTTGGAAAACCCAAAAGTTATCTAGTTGTCTTCTTTGTCTGATATCTTAAGATGTTACATTCCTCTCAGAACATTGATCATCAATAGGAATTCATGTTGCCTATGATGAATCAATCCTGAGTATTGCTAACACATTTTTATTGCAGGAGTTACGATCAGCTTTCTACTTGCAGGAGCAGCATGTGTCCTGAATGCCTTATGTTATGCTGAGCTAGCTTCTCGTTTTCCCGCGGTCGTTGGGGGAGCATACTTGTATACATACACAGCTTTTAACGAGCTGACTGCTTTTCTTGTGTTTACACAAATGATGCTTGACTATCATATTGGTGCTGCTAGTATCGCTCGGAGCTTAGCAAGCTACGTTGTAAATGTATTAGAGCTCATACCCTCCATCAAGAATAATATTCCAAATTGGGTTGGACATGGTGGTGATGATATTTTTGGGTTTCTATCTATCAACATATTGGCCCCAATCCTTCTAGTATTTTTGACAATAATCCTATGCCGTGGTGTTGGAGAATCTTCACTATTAAATACTGTCATGACCATTACCAAGGTGATTTATCTTAAGTAACTCTCAATTGTATCCTTTAGTGATTATGAATCTAATAGAGGAAAGAAACATACACATTACCTTGATTGTAGTTGTCCCTGTAAGGAACAAAAGACTCAGTGATTTTGCTTAAACTAAATACCCCATCTAAATATTATTGACTGAATAGTGTGCAAGAGCATACACGTCTTTCTAGGTCTACAGGTTATTCCGTAGCTAGCTGTGTGGATAGTTATGAGTCCAACAATATACATTCAGACTTTTTTTTGAACATTGGAACATAAGCGAGCCACTAAGTTCTAATGATTTTACATTTCAAGAATCAGAGGCTTGCCAATGAGTATGCTGCCAGCTAGATATATTGTTAGTGTTTCTATCATGCTCACATGATAGCCATCTATCAGCAAGACATAATACCCTTTCTTGTAGTTGCTTTAGATTAATTCACCTAAAAAATGTTCACTTTTCATCATTATGCTTCTAGTTACTGTTATGGCACAATGAGCCTTCTTTTGTGGATACATGCACATTGTTGCATAATACCTTGATGAAATATTACTGAGATATTTGGGGATTCCATTCAATGCACTTAGATTGATGATTCTTGTGTGCATAAAGAACTCCTAGGTTGCTAAAACTATTATAGTTAAAGAGTAAAGGAACACCGTCAATTTTCTACTTGCTCAATTTTTGTTTGAGCGTATCATTTGAAACTGCCTAGGTTCCTCTATTGCTGTCTGTTTTTATTAGTCATTAGGAGTTTCGGTAGACCAAAATTGTGTTTCAGTCTTCCTGAATGGCCATGCTTCAAATTCAAGGATACAGAAATGAAAGTTACTGCTATCAGATAATCTGGTACAGCTTGATTGTTCACCATTCTCTTGATAAATGATTAGTTTAATGATGATGTTAAGCATCGTAGGTTTATTGAGTAAGTTTGAGAAGCCAAGTTTAGTCGAGTCAATGCAGGCGGTGATTCATCAAAATTCCTGTATCTCAAAAACTCAACATGGAGGGTGTGTTATTTGGTGTTTTTTTTAAAGTATATAATATTTATAAGTGGCAAATAGAACAAATAAACTCACACACCCTCCTCACCCTTGGTGAGGTTTGAACCCCTGTCCTCCTAGGAGGTCAAAGACTCACATACCGCTAGGCCAAAGACCCTTTGGTGTTTATAGTAGTGATTGGCTTCCATTCTGCCTCATCAACTTGGCTTCTTGAATCAAATTATGTGCCTTTAGTATATCTTAGTATGATTATAGTATTTATCTTAATTTTGTGGACATGACAGGTAACTATTGTTCTTGTGGTCATCATTGTTGGTGCTTTTGAAGTTGATGATTCAAACTGGTCACCTTTTGCTCCAAACGGTTTTAAATCCATGCTAACTGGAGCCACCGTAGCTTTTTTTGCGTATGTTGGATTTGATGCCGTTGCCAATTCAGCTGAAGAATCTAAAAGACCCCAGGTATTATAAAAATGGGTCTTGCTTTATGGTTTTATCTGATTCAATTATTCGAGTTTTTTCTATACCTGATAATAACAGAGGTAGCTTTTTCATCTTTCAATGTCACGACGCTATCAGCGAGACCTACCAATAGGCATAATCGGGAGCCTTCTTGTTTGTGTTGTATTATACATCGGTGTTTGCTTAGTTATTACGGGCATGGTACCTTACAATTTGCTTGGCGAAGATGCTCCCTTGGCAGAGGCATTCAAATCCAAAGGATTAAACTCTGTATCAGTCTTGATCAGCATTGGTGCGATTGCAGGCCTTACAACAACTCTACTGGTTGGCCTTTATGTTCAGGTAAGTATTTCCCTACCTTTTGCCTTACTGACCTTTTCATGTGTTTTAATATTTTGTTGCTTAATCATTAAGTAACTTAAAGTTTCTTGGTGAGCAGTCTCGCTTGTATCTTGGGCTTGGAAGAGATGGTTTGCTACCTGCAATATTTGCCAAGGTTCATCCATCTCGCCACACTCCAATTCATTCTCAAATCTGGGTTGGAATTGTTGCCTGTATTTTGGCTGGGCTGTTAAACGTGACTGTGCTATCACATATTCTTTCGGTTGGATCACTGGTACGTTGGCTCCCAGTTCCCTCATTACTTAGCTAAGAAATATGATTTTCGTTAATCTATGTTATGAACAAAAGCTTTAATGTACTATAAAGGATTCACGTTATGTGATCTAGTGCTCTTTCCTTTACATTAATTACTTTAATCTATGTATGGTTGTTTGAATCCTTAGTTTACTTAATAGTCCTATATGCGTATTAGAGTTCAACTTAATTGTCAAGTCACTGGGTTTTGATGTTAATGAAATTACTTGGGAGAACAAAATTATGTGAAACTGATTTTCAGTTTTTCATATATCTATTTACTATTCAGAATCTTATTATTTATATACAAAATTGATTTTTACTAACTTACATATCTCAAGATTTTATTTTTTAACTAAAATGTCAATATCAATTAAAGATCTAAAGATTACATGCACGATGAACTTGCTTTGAAGTTGGTTTACATAGTAGCTGGAAGAAGCTTCAGCACAATTTTGTGAGTGAGAAACATTAAAGTTTAGTTGCAGAACATTCTTTCGTGAGTAATTTAAAAACCACCCATAGTTAAATGAGGTTGTTCCTGCATATAAAACATGTTCCTTTTCTTGATCATCTTTATCGTTTGCCTGACCAGTATATGTCCAAAACAAACATTGTTTTTGGCTGCAGGCAGGTTATTCCATTGTAGCAGCTTGTGTGATGACTCTTCGCTGGGAAGATAAGATTGATACCCATGTCTCAACCATCTCGATGTCGAAGAGGATAGAAGGCATCACTTGCATAACTGTGATTGCTTGTTGTGGTTTGGCTGCTGGAATCTTTTACCGTTACAGTGTTTCAACTCTTGCAAATATATTTCTTATTTTACCCATAGCTATTGCAATCGTTGCAGCTGCAGTACTTCAGTTTAGGCAGGTAAGCGGAATCATTTTCACACTAATGCTATAATACAATTAATTACAACTATGGCCTTTAATATTTCATACCAGAGCTTAGAGCTTACAAGTATATCATGGCATATTTGTATAACTAAATAACATGCAACAATGATTGTTAAGAGGGTGGCCTATCATTGTCAAGGTCTTACATAGGTTCTGTTTTTCATGAATTATGAAAATATTAAATCAACGATAGTTACAGAACTTTTTTTTGCAAAATTTGATTGTCTTTGAACTAAATGGTTATCGTGCAATGTTTCCTATCAATTTTATATTTAGAAATATATTTAATTTAAGAAATAAAAAACAAAAGTATTACCTTGTAGTATTCGAGGTGACTTGCAGTTGCCATGCACCAGAATACTACTCAATGATGCCATTGGATGTAAATTACGAGGACTTCCTAAACAAACAAGCAGACATCTAACAGATTCATGTCTATCCCAATTGAGCCCATTCAGATTCAAATAAGCAGCCCCTTAAGTCTGTTCTCAGAGCCTCATAAATTTGGTTATACTTTGACCTCAATTCTGATGGACCTCAGTTGCATAAAGACAAATTAGAAGTTGGAACACTTGGTACAGTGGAGTTATGTACCTGAAATTAGCTGACAAAACATTTCTTCTGCATGAGTTCGGCCCCAATTTATGGAATCACAAGCATTGCCATCTTCTGAATTTTTTGTTCAAAACCTCATGATGCATCTAGCCCCCCGGGTTATATACAGTGGCCTGATGCATGAGTCAGCAATGATAAGAAATCAAAATGACAAACTGGATAAAAAAATCAAGTAGATTGTTCAGTTGGTCCCTTCACCAACTTGTGATTGCATTAATTTTCTCTCTAATCCTCATTTTTCTTACTACTTTCTCGCAGGTCTATAAACATCCACCTGGTTTCTCTTGCCCATGGGTTCCAATAGTGCCTGCTGTTTGTATCTTCTTTAACATATTCCTTTTCGCTCAGGTTTGCTCTTTTAGTCTTTTCCTAATTTCTCTGCCAACAATTCATAAAACAATCGAGTGTTGTTATGTGGACCCAAAAGAATACTCAAGTTGGAGCATGGATGTCAAACATGCCCATCTCATTCTCATCCCTACTAAGGGGCTTAGAGTTATCTTGATGGCACACAACCTAACACAATAGTAGGAGGCTTGAGGTGTTCTGACTACTTCCATTAACAACTAGCATTTAGCAATCAAATAATTAAGAATTAACAAAATTTTAACAATTTGGCATCAATTGACGAAGCCTAACCCTAACAATTAACAATTAATGAAAACTAACAATTAACAAAAAATTACAATTAGACATTAACTAGCAAACCGTAACCCTAAGAATTAACGATTAACATCTTACAATAATCACTTAATTGAGCTTGAAATTGCTAGGCTAAATATTTTGTTAGGTCAAAACAAGATATATATTTATAAAAAGGTAAAATTTATAATATGAAAAGATATATCATTTTTAGTTTATGGGGGGTCAATTAATTTTGGCCTTGTGGTTATGTGGGATAATAGATTGGGTCCTCCAAACGTAAAATTACAACTATAGTCATTGTGATTTTACTTTTGCTATGGATTGGGTCCCTTACCTAACTTTTGTTAAAAAAATTCCATTAAATTAAGGATATTTTGGTTCTTTTGCCAATTAATTGAAGATAGATTTTCGAACCCCAATTAGATGGTGCCACTTATCCATCCATGCTCATTTCAATCCCGGTCTTCATCGAACTCTTCTCCATATCTGACCACCGCTTCCTCCAGCCTCTTTCCCAGTTTCCCCTTCTACGGGCACACCATTTTCCAGCCTCGTACCTTTTCTCTGGCCACCACCATCTACAACTCCTTGAAAATATGAAAATCTGTGATCTTTGAAGGACCCCGATTAACCCATCAAAATAAAAATCAAATTCAAACTCAACCATCAAGAATATATACATTTATTTTAAAGAATAGTTATACAGAAGTAGTGTAGACCAATAACCTGTAATTTCCAAATAAAAAACATGAAAAGGAAGCTTCTGTTCTTCATGTGCAAACCCAGGTCATGTTCATATGCAAACCCTGGTCATGAGCAAACTCTTAACTTTAACTTCCAATTCAGGTCATATGCAAACCCAGGTCGAGGCCTTCAATTACTTTAACCTCCAACACCGTTCTCTGGTTTTTAGATATGCTAAAAAACCAAAATGAATGGGTGTCTTCCTTCAAGAGAGTTCATCGGGACACCGTTGAAAATTCTCACTAGCAACCCAAACTCGAAGGAAACTTGAAGAAAACCCAGATCTGTGTTTGTCTTTGTGTTTATGTGTTTTATTGAGTTTTGGGTTCTCCAAATATCCATATCCGAAAAACAATAATGATGATTGGATTCTCCAAATACCCAATATCCAAAAACAAAAAAATGAGTTTTGGGTTGTCTGTTTGTTCTGTTTGTGTTTCGTGGGTGTCTGGGTGAAGATGTACAACAGAGGGGCCAGAGGGTGGGCGATGATGGGAGGTGCAGGGGAGATGGAGGGTCGGTGGGGATGCCATTGTTTGTATGGTCGATGATTGTTGCTGTTTGTGTTTGGTGGGTGGAGGTGCAGGTTGGTGGCACATTCGTGGCATCAGAAACAGCAACTAACGAAGCTTTATCTGGAACTTCAAGATATCAAGGACAGAAATTCGGACATGGAATCAACCCTATGGCGGAAAGAAATAAAATTGAACTGACCTCCATTTACCTAGTTACTTGTTTGTGTCATTGCTACATATACTTTTATACTTGTGTTTTATATGATCTACTGCACATACTATTAAATTTGCCACAAGCCAAGGGGGGGGGGGGGGTTATTCACGGGAATAGCCTCTCGACCCGTAGGTGTTCTGGTAAGGTCCACGTACATCCTACCCCCGTACACTTTTTTCCTGTTATTTATCTACATAAACAGTCTCCCTATCCCTTGGTTAGAAGTAATGTCTGCCTGCATCCTACCTTTCCTGAATCCTACTTCTCCATTACATATATACTGGATTGGTTTGTATGATTTGATTTACATGATATAGCATCCTTAAAATTGATTGTAACTTCCATTTGCAGCTTCACTATGAAGCGTGGGTGAGATTTGCGGTGCTCAGCATTTTTGCTGTGTGTGTATATGCATTTTATGGGCAATATAACGCGAAACTTGTATGTGATGACACCCTTTATTACCATTTAGCACCAGAAGCTGAAGGTCAATAGCATTAATGTATGCGTATTATTGTAGTCTTATATGACGGATGAAATATAGCCATGTAATGTAAAATATGTACCATTTCTTCTTGTTATTGGTTACGCGGGTCTATTTTCTTCAAGTCATTTATCTAGTAATGCAGACATGTTCCGTTTCTTGTCGTTTATGTTTCATTTGATCATTGTTGATCATTAGTATATTAGTTTAAATATAACATATATCATGAATACAAATAAACTATTCTAAATATATTGGTTATCATGAGATATTCAATGTATATAATTATGATATTAATGACATCAATTAATGTATAAACCAAATATTAAAATAACATAATAAATTATCTATATATATCTCAATAGTATATAGGGGTCCATTGAAAAGAGAATTGGTTAGTTTGTGATAATTGTGACATTCAATCTCAACCATAAATCAATTGATAAATTAGGATTCTAATATTTTTGGTAATTTGAACTTAATTTTTAATTAAAGGGTATTTTAAGTATTAAATTTTTTATCTCTCTCTCTCTCTCTCTCTCTCTCCTGATTCTGGCCTCCGATAAACCTTATTTCGGCGAACACCATGTGATACCCAAACTATACCAAGATACACAATGTGATATTCAAAATACATATAATGTGATATCCAAAACATACCAAGTCAACTTCGAGACCATTATGATACCAACTGTGGTACCATGGTGATACCAATTGTAGTACCACTATGATAACTACGTTGTATATATATATATATATATGTGTGTGTGTGTGTGTGTGTGTGTAACATCTCGCTTGAGCAAACCCCAAATTACCAATTTTATAAAATCTCCAATAAAATATAATTTATTAATTATTAGGACCAAAATTGATCCTAAATTATTCTAAAAGTTTTGTCAAAACAATCGGGGCCAATGATGAAAAATCTGATAATGCTGCTGAAACAACTAAGTCTGGAGGAAGACCAGAGGCAATGAATTGGTCCAGAGGCAGACAATGGACCAGAGGCTGCTGAAATGGCTAAGTCTGGAAGAAGACTAGAGGCAATGAATTGGTCCAGAGGCAGGCAATGGACTAGAGGCTGCTGAAATGGCTAAGTCTGGAAGAAGACCAGAGGCGAGGCTATGAAGGACCAGAGGCAATGGATGGACCAGAGGCAATGGAAGGACCAGAGGCAATGGATGGACCAGAGGCAATGGATGGACCAGAGCCGATGGATGGACCAGAGCCGATGCAATGGTCCAGAGACGATACAATGGTCCAAAGGCGATGCAATGGTCCAGAGCCCATGCAATGGTCCAGAGACGATGCAATGGTCCAGAGGCGATGAAGAACCAGAGGCTATGAAGAACCAGAGGCCAACACTTTGAAACACAAAAATCTGGGCATAACATTAATTAACCTCAAAATATGGGATATTAATTTCTAGAAAAACATCGAAATATCCGTTCTATTTTAGTGATAAAACCACTCAAAACACAATTCCAAACCCGATATAACGAATTTTTTTTTACTTACAACCCGAATTAAGTAGCCAAATGAATACGAGACAAGACCATATATATAAACTACTATTTACCCAAAAGCAAGATCGATATCTTCAAGTTCCCCGATAAATCTTCAAGTCAAACAACGGGTACTTTCTTTTTATCCGTCTTCTTTCCTAAGAGAGGTTGCCACTTAAATGGTAAGTCAACACTTAGTGAGTTAAATAGTTAAGCATTACATATCAATATCGCACATGTTTATAAACATACATAATAAACTCTTATCAATAAAAGAGTTCATGACATCATCCAGATGCAAACCGAGACTTACAAGAAACCGAGTGAATAATTACGTACCAGATGCTAAGATCATAGGATTCCATATTCAAATCACCATAGTATACCATATCATTGATGCTCAATACAACAAGGAGACAGGATCAACAACCAAATACATTCATCAACGTTAGAATACCAATAAATATCAAGAACCAAGAGATCGAATCGGTATACATAACGAGGACAGTGCATCCCCCCGTCCTTCACCTTCCGGGCTCATGCCAAAGTCCGAGTCGGAATCATACATTACGGGAAACCTCGCACTGCCCGCCTTCCTCTACCGGGTATGTGCCAAGGTTCCCTACTCATTGCTCTACCTCATTTCTGAGCAATGAGTATTCACAACCGCAGAAAGTCTCACCCGTCCAACCCGGGATCTTGACTTTGCCATAAACTTTCGGCGTGCCACACGAAGTAGTACCCGTACTATGGCGTACAATTCAAGTAACAAAACAAACAAGACTTGATCTAGAAAGCAAACCGATGCATGAGATAGTAATATGGAATCGACTCAAGAGACAGAATCAAAGACAAATCAAGATCGTGTGACTCCATTCAAGACCAAAAATATTCATATGAAAATATATATGTTCAAATAGGATATGTGTATATCATGAGTTTCTTATATTGGTTGCTTATGAGATTTTGTACATTTACTTCAGGGGGTAATTAGGACATGTTTTGATACTTTGGAAGCAATCTAAGTGTGGTAGATTGGACTTGCTTTGTGAGCTCATTCGGAGCTTTTCGGTATTGTACCTTTGATCATAAAATAAGAAATAAACTAGACTCAATTATCTAGCTAAGGAAATTGGCCTCACCTCATTTGGATTTTTCTACGATTTTATACAGATTTTCAAAGTCTACACACTTTCAATGCATTCAAAAGTCGAAAAT